AGAGGCTGTGTGAACACACAGAGTGGTTCCAGGCTCTCAAGTCTTGCCTTCCGTGGCCTCAGACCCGCCCGTGTGCTGACCACAAGATTGTGGAGGTCTCACAGACACACACATGTGCATGTTATGCTCCGTGCACGGCCCAGGGCCGTGAGCACACTGCTGGTCTATGGAGCAATCACTAATTGACAAACCAAGTCTAACCCGAGCCCAGTGGCTGTCAAGCACCTGGACTCAGTCCCTACGACAACCCTGTGAGGTGGGGCCCATGATTCTATGCAACTCACAAAGGAGAAGACCGAGGCTCAGAGAGGTTGTGCGACTTGCTTGAGACCACACAGCTAGTGAGGGGGAAATCATGGTTTAAACTTGCACAGCCTGGCTGCAGACCACAGGGCTCAGGAGCAGGGAGCTCTGGCCCACCCTGAGCCCTGGGCCCGATGGCACCCTCCTGTAAGGAGGAAACAGGCCCAGAGAAGCGTGGCAGCATGTCTGTGGGCACGCCCATGTGAGCTGAGTCCTGAGATCCCAGGGCATCTTTGTCTCCTCTAGATCTCCAGGACCCTACTCCCACAGCTCTGACCATCTCCTATACTGCCCCACGCTCCCCTCCCCAACCCTGGGGGACACTGATCCGGGTAAGGGAGGAAGGGGAATGGCCTTGTGACTGTGGGCAAGAGAAAACAAGATCTGAGTGTCAGACGTGCGACACAGCAACACACTTAGAAACGTGATACATGTTGGGGGCCAGCAGGTAGCATGGCGGCTAAGGCTCTGGACTTCCACATGGTCAACTGCAGTTCAAATCCCAGTTCTGGTAGCTTGAAAACCACTCCAGATGTATGCATGCACACATGCCCAAAATCCAGAAGAAAATGGAGAAGGGATTATGGCACGGCCATCCTTCTTTGGGTGATTTCTCACTTTTTCTCTCTCTGTCTCTCTCCAGGGAGTACACATGCCTAATAAAATAAAATAAAATAATAAAATAAAATAAGATAAAAGATAGAAAGAAAAACCAAGCCCGAGACAGAGACAGAGCCCAAGAGACCCATCTGGGATGAGGAGACTGACAGAGGCCTAAAGGAGCCCACCCTCCCTCCTTTTAGAACCATACGCGGGGGCCAGCAGATGGCGTAATGGCTATGTCACTGGACTCCCATGTAGTCTACCGCGGTTTGAGTCCCGGACCCAGTGGCTTAAACTCCCACTGGGCGTATGTGCATGTGTGCCCAAGATTCCGGGAGGAGAAGGGATTGCGGCGTGGCCATCCCCCCTGGGGGGTGATTTCTCGCTTTCTGTCTCTCTGTCTTTCTGGTGAGCGCACGCGCCCTATAGCAAAAACCTCTAAAAAAAAAAAAAAAAAAAAAAAGAACCAGACAGGGCAGAAATGGGTTTTCTCCTGCACCCTCATGTAAACGCACTTCAAAGCCACAGAGGGAGGGAGTCTAGTTAAGAGGGGCGGAGAGAGGGCTCAGGCTCACGCAGGCCATTCAGGCCAGGGCAGGAGGAGAGCCTGGCTGAGACTGGCAGTCACCCGCTGGGCACGAATAAGATGATTGGAAATTCCACTCTGGCTTTCAATGGGAGGGTGGCAAGAGGCCAAGAGCTTGGGGGCTGGCTCGAGAGAGAGACAGGAGAGGGAGAGGACCCAGAGAAACATAGAGTGGGAAGGGCTGGAGACACGGAGAGATGAGGGCAGAGAGAGACAGAAAGAGAGAGAAAAGCAAAAGCAATCATGACTCCAAGTGCCCCCACACACAACTCAGAAAGACCCCAGCACACGCTCACGCCCTCTCTGGCTCCGGCCTCCGCTATGCTGTGTGACTTTGCAGAAGACTGGCTCTCTCTGAGCCTCAGAGGCCCCCTGAGGTCAAGCTGGCTCCAGGGAGGCCAGGAGACGGGGATGGGGCCAGGGGCCACAGCGACTGGGCAGGTGGCAGCTGAAGGTCCCTGCTGAGCTGGTGCCCAGGAGCACCCAGGGAAGGGCCAGGTCAGGCAGACGCCCAGCAAGAAAACCAAGGCTCAGAGCAGGGAGACAGCTCACCCAGGAGGCAGAGCCAGGACAGGCACCGCCCGAGACGGGCTGGGGAATGACCCACTTGGGCCTATGGCAGCTGCCCCTGCCCCCTTGTTCTCACCCCAAGTGGAGCACACAGTGACAGCACGGTGACAGCCGTCCCCAGGCCACTCTCACACCCATCTACAAGGCAGCTACTTCCAAGTCCCACTTGACAGACCAGGAAACCGAGGCCCTCTAGGTTACGGGATTGCAGCCTCACTCCGCTGCCATTTGCATACTTTTCAGGAAGAAGAACTGCCTTCCCCTAGAAAGTCCAAACCAGGGCCCACATGGCCAGGCCAGGCCAGGGAGGGGTGTCTAGCCCTGGATGTGGAAGGCCGCTGGGCAGGGACAGCAACAGCCAGGGTCAGGTGACGCTGGCTGTAAAGTGCCAACCACGGCCCAGGGGTGTCAGGGCCACATACTTCCACAGGACACTCCAGCCAAGACCCATGCAGATGTGGCCAGGGCCCCCGAGCGAGAAAACTGTCCTGTAGTGCCACCTAGTGGCTGAAGCGGGGCCTGGCTTGCCATCCCAAGGGGAGCGCTGCCCAGGCACCTCTGCTTCTGGGACATTGCAATACCGGGAATCCCTCCACCCCAGGGCCGCGTCTGACCAGCCCAGGTTAGAGAGGAAGGTGCTTGGTCCTTTGCCGCCAGCGGGGCCGACTCCCACACCCCACGACTTCCTGGTCCCCATCTCACTGGCGTCCCACACCCAACTTCCATCCATTCAATTCATGTTTCTATGGAGCACCTACTATGTGCCAAGCACTGTTCCGGGCCTCAGGGATGGAACAGTGACTTAAACAAAGACCCCTGCCCATGTAGAGCTTACAGTGGGGCACAGGGAGGGAGACCGGAAACAATAAACAATAGCAATAGGAAAACAGTCCAGCTATTTTAGGAGCAGGGAAAATGCCCCTCTGACCAGTATCTGGGCCTTTAAGACAAAATCACAGAGTCCAGCCCTTGAAACCATCCTGGTCCCCAAGGCACGTCTGCCTGTCCTCTGAGACCACTTGTCTGTGTCACAGAGGCTAGGCCTTCCCTATGGTAACCTCCTGCCTGGGACACCCACTTCCACACGTGGTCAGCTCCTGACCCCACGGCTGACAGGCCCCAGCCACACCACAGCTCTGCTCCCCTGGGTGACCCAAGGAGAGGAGGTGTGCACCAACGCCCAGCTTAGACCGCCTTGGCTCCAGTCCTGACACCCTGTACTACCTTGTCAGCTTCCTTGGCCTCTCTGTGCCTGATTCCTCATCTGTAAAATGAGGAAAGCAGGGACCAGCAGTTAGCGTAATGGCTATGTCACTGGACTCCCACGTAGTCGACCATGGTTCACATCTCGGACCCAGTAGCTTAAAACTCACGCCGGGGACGTGTGCATGCGTGCCCAAGATCCCGAGAGGAGAATGGAGGAGAAGGGATTGCGGAGTGGCCATCGCCCCTGGGGGGTGATTTCTCGCTTTCTGTCTCTCTGTCTGTCTCTGTCTATCTGGCGAGCGCACGCGCCCTATAGCGAAAACCTCTCAAAAAAAAAAAAAAAGAGGAAAGTAGTTCCTTCCTCTCAGGGTTGAGTGTGAATGAGTTAACAAATACAAAACACTTAGAACAGAATCTTGACCCCATCACGGTGTTTGTTGCTGTTAATATCCAGACATACAGAAGGCGCTCTGGGCACCCCATCCTCTTTCTCCCTGCGAGTGGGGCTGGGAGCCTGCTCCACTGCAGGGAGAGTCATCTCTAGACCAGAAGTTCTCAAAACCTTTTGGTCTAAGGAGCCTTTTACACTTTTGAAAATTCAGACTCTCAAGACCAGTAGATGGTATAGTGGTTATGTCGCTGGACTCCCACATAGTCAACCATAGTTCAAGTCCCAGACCCTGTGGCCTAAAACTCACACCAGGCACATGTGTATGCATGCCCAAAACCCCGAGAGGAGGCTGGAGGAGAAGGGATTTTGGCATGACCATCTCCCACAGGGGTGATCTCTCACTTTCTCTTGTCTCTGGTGAGTGCCCATGCCCTATAGCAAGACTCTCTCTTAAAAAAAAAAAAAGAGAGAGAGAGAGAGAGAGACAGAGAGAGATGGAGGAAGTGAGAAATCATCCCCTAGAGGGGATGGCCATGCTGTAATCCCTTCTCTTTCATTCTCTTTTTTTTCCCCCTAGAGGTTTTTGCTATAGGGCGCATGCCCTCGCCAGAGACAGAAAGCGAGAAATCATCTCCCAGGGGAGATGGCCACGCCGCAGTCCCTTCTCCGCAATCCCTTCTCCATTCTCCTCTCGGGATCTTGGGCACGCACACGCGCCCGGCGTTAAGTTTTAAGCCACTGGATCCAGGACACGAACCGCAGTCGCCTACATGCGAGTCCTGCGACATAGCCACTACACTAACTGCCCATTACACTAACTGCTGGTCCCTCATTCTCCTCTTGGGATTTGAGGCACTCATGAACACGCGCGGCGTTTCAAGCCGCCAGGTCTAGGATTCGAACCGCGGACCACTATGTGGGAGTCCAGTGCCTTAGCCACTAAGCCCCATGCTGGTTTTATAAACAACGTATTTTTTGCAAAATAATTGTATTCTTCAAAACAAAAATACATTGTTTTGCATTTTTTATGAATGTCTTTAATGTATGGCTTAATGGGAGAACGCTGGACGCTCATGGCGCATTCGATTTACGAGCTATGCTACTTTGGTTGGAAAGAAAAAAACTCAACGCCAACACCTGAGAGATCCAAGAGAATTGACGAATTGTAGACGGCTTCCGGGAAAGGTGTGGCCTGAGTCGCAAGCTCCTAGTTGGGATTGGGCAACACAGGTGTCTTTTTGTGCCTTGGGCCCGCCTCCCTCCATAACGCATGCGTGCCAGGGCAGGTGGGCACTTCCGCCCTCCCTCTCCGGAGCCTTCCGTGTTAGCTCAGGTTCCGCGGAGGACACTGGGACTGCCAAGGCGGAAGTAGCGCGGACGCGTGGGCGGGGCTAGACGCCGGCATGTCGGCTGCCTTGCTGCGCCGGGGCCTGGAGCTGGTGGCGGCGTCCGAGGGTAGGCGGGCTTGCCTGGGGACGTCCGGCGCGGGCAGGAGTCCCGGGTGACTAACCCGGAGGGGTGGGAACCCTGCTCGCCCTCCGACCTGAGTCCGTTCCTCTCTTCCTTTGCAGCCCCCGGGGTTGGGCCAGGCCAGGCCAAGCCAAGCGGGGCTCCGTCGAAGCGGTCTCGGAAGACAAAGGCGACTCAGGCCCAGAAACTGCGAAACTCAGCCAAGGGAAAGGTGCCCAAGTCGGCTCTGGGTGAGTTGGGAAGGGTCGGACCTCGCTGACCCGGAAGTGGGGGGCGTTGCCCTGGAGACGGCGAGCTTGGGGCAGGGCCTGCAGCCTTCGCCGGGTATTGCTGGAACGCCTGCCGTGTACCGGGCGCGGAGCCGGGCCCTGGGTACGGGGGTGAACGGCACACATCGCCCGGCCTTCATAGAATGGGGCCCTGGCGGGGAGCGACGCGTCAGCCTCCAAACCGGCCTGCTGTGGTCTGTGAAGGGACGACTCCGGTGCACAGGGGAATTTAAAGTGAAGGCCACCTGAGCCCGCCCTGAGGAAGTGGCATTTAGTCTAACAGGCGGAGGAAGCCAAAGAGCGAGCCAGGTGAAGAGCAGGCGCATCTACTGGGGGAGTAACGGGCACCGGACCTGAGTCGCAGCTTGTTGCCTTCGAATTTCAAAGAAAGCGAGCTGGTGAAAGTGACACCGTGAACGGGGCCTGAGATGGCGCATCTGACAGCTTCGAGCTGGGCGTGCCATGCACTCATGTGCCAGTGCTGGTGTGAGCTCTCCAATCCTGGCGGCGTCGCCCCGTTTCACAGGTGCAGAACCAGGCACCCATCCAGATGAGAACATGTAGAATCCAGGCAGTGTGTCTCCAGAGTCCTGCTCCTGCCCCGTCCAGGTGGGGGTGCTGGGGCCTGGGCAGCAGAGATGAGAGAAGGTACAGGTGAGAGATACACTGAGGCAGGATCCCTGATGGCTCTTGTGATGAACTGGCTGTGAAGATGAGACCTAAAGGCAGTGAGGTGCAGGGTGAGCAGGGGGGTTGTTGGACGGGCAGGACTTGCTGGGTTCCTAGTGTGTCTGAGTCCTTAGAAGCAGGAAGGACAGGGCCACACACTGAAAGAGCTTGGTGATACCTGCCGTGGGCATAGCATGCCTGAAGTCAGGCCCATCGACCCTGTCTCACTCTCTTGCCATTCCCCCACTAGGCTAGGAGCTCCTAAAGTGCAGCCACCCGTGGGCTTGTCGGTGGCCCTGATGTCCAGCACAGGGCCTGGCACGTCACCAGTATACGTACCAAGTATGAGAATGGAGGAGCAGCAGCCTGTGAGACTGCCACCTACATGGTCTCTGGCCGGCCTTATTCCAAAGCGTCCCCTCCCAGCTGGCTTCCTGCCTTTCCTGCCTCCCTTTCTCCAGGCATCTGGTTCTTAGCAGGAGCCCGAGTGATGCTGTAAAACCGAAGCCAGACCTTGTTTCTCTACTCACACCCTCCGCTGGCTCCCACTGTACCCAGTAAGAGCCAGAGTTCTCACGATGCCACATGAGGCCCTGTGGGATCTGTCCCCCCACTTCCTCCCTCCCCTCTCCAGCCATTTTCTGCTCTTCAGACATCTTCGTCATACTGTGTCAGGGCCTTTGCACTGGCTGTTCATCCACCCAGACAGGTGCACTTCTCCAGACGTTCACAAGCTCTCCTCCCAGCCTTCGCTCAGATGTCACCTCAGTGAGCCCTTAGATCCTCCTATTTAAAATTATAATCCTCGGGACCAGCAGTTGGTGTAATGGCTATGTCACTGGACTCCTATGTAGTCGACTGCGGTTCGAGTCCTGGATGCAGTGACTTCAAACTCACGCCGGGCGTGTGTGTGTGCATGCCCAAGATTCCAAGAGAAGAATGGATTGTGGCGTGGCCATCCCCCCCAGGGGTGATGATTTCTCGCCTTCTGTCTGTCTTTCTCTTTCTTTCTGGCAAGTGCATGCGCCCTATTGCAAAAATCTCTCCTCCCCCCCCCAAATTATAATCCTCCATCCTCAGTAGTCCCTTTTTGTTTTTTATCTGTTTTTTGTTTTTTTGGGTTTTTTTCCCTCCAAAAATGTATCCCTCATGGGGACTAGCAGGTGGCATGGTGGTTAAGGCACTGGACAGTCCCACATGGCTGACCACAGCTCGAGTTCTGGATCTGGTGGCTTGCTTTTTCTCTTTCTCTTTTGCTGTCTCTCTCTGGTCAAATTAAAATAAATGAACGAATGAATAAAATTAAATAGTTATATATTTTTTTCTTAACAATGTGCCATTCTTGCCTGGCTTGGTAGCCTTGTAGTTAAAGCTGCTGGTTCCCCAGTGACCAACTTGGTATTTCACATCAGACACGTGTGCACGCGTGCCCAATATCCTGACAGAACGGGGAGGCGGAGGAGAGTGGGTTGTGGGGTGACCATTCGCCACAGGGGGTGCTTTCTCCTTCACCCTCTCTGTTTCTTTCCGGCAAGCACACATGCCCTCTAGCACAAAAAAGCAAAAGACGCACAAAAATCACCCTCTTAAAATCCCAGTGTCCCGGTTCGTCCCTGTCTTCCCACTGGAGTGTATGCTCCAGGAAGGCAGGAGTCAGTCGGTCTCTGCCTGCTCTGTGCCCCACACCTTGAACGGTGCCAACACAGCGGTACTCAGGACCTGTTTGTTGAATGAGCGAGTAATCACATGGTAGCTGGGAGCCAGCGGGGCTTCCAGCAGGGGCGTGCAGAGTGGATTTGATGAAGAGCCCGGTCAGTACAGGAACTAGGAAAAGGACAGTGGGGCCTTTGGTGGGCCATGGGCGTGGGGACCCAGAAGGCTTTCAAAGAGTGAGTCTGAAATGCTCCCTGCCTGCCCCTCCAGCCGAGTATCAGAAGCAGGAGTGTCAAGACCACCTGAAAGCAAACCTGAAGTTTATGACCAGCATGAAGAGCACCATGGACGAGGCCATGACCCGGCAGGTCTGTCGTGCTGGGAGGGCCTGTGATAGCTAATAGGTTCCTTCAGGACCTATGGGCTCTCGGCTGTGAGCGTGGGTGGGTGGAGGCTGGGCCAGCCCTGCCGGGCACCATACTTCCCTGTGGTTTCTGCGGGCCTCGCTTTGCTCTTCTGAGCCGTGTGCCCTCACTTCTTCACCCTCCCCAGATTCTGCGACAGAACCGGGGCCGCAAGGCCTGTGACCGGCCTGTGTCCAAGACGAAGAAGAAGAAGAAGGCTGAGGGCACCGTGTTCACTGAAGAGGACTTCCAGAAGTTCCAGCAGGAGTATTTCGGCAGCTAGGCTCCCTGGGCACACAGTGGGCACTCCTGCCCCAGCCTCCAGCCTCCTTGGACCTGGCTGCCTCTGCTGGCCTCAGGACCACCGTGCCATGCACAGGGCGGCCAGCAGATGGCGATGCAGCACTAGCTTGGCTCAGAGAAGCCCCGGGACTGGAGTCTCCTGGAGACTGGAAGGGAGCTGGTGAGCTGGAAACGCCAGGGAGGGCTGTTACTCACATGAGCTAACATGCAGCCGTGGAGGGAGCCAGCTGGACCTCCAGAAAGAAGCACTGCTGACTGTTTTGTTTGCTTTTACCCTGGGAGCCGGGCACGGAGGAGCTGGCTGGCTGCTGTGAACCAGGCCAGTTCCTGGGCCTGCGGGGCCACACATCGAGGAGTTGGAAGGTGACTGCTGTGTGGATTTCTGGACTCTAATAAATGGGGACCCAAGGGGTGTGTGTGTGCTGCTCACTGGACTTAGGGAGTATCTCCCTCTCCTGCCCTTCACTCATCTCCCACCCTGGGTTTTAGAGCTCTAGGTCCCTGTCCCTCAGTCTGACTCTGGCACAGGTGGCCTTTGGAGAGCTGTTCACCCAGTACGTGACACCCCCAGGGCACCTTCCTCCCCAGGGTGGCAGCTGAGGCAGCCCTCAGGCATGGGTAGCACTCCCAGTGACTGGGGGCTGTTCCAGAGAAGCAGACCCGGAGGTTGGGGAGGAGGGGTCTGGGCCTGCCTTGGCCCTCCCCTGAGAAGCCTGTGCATCCACCCATCTCCCCTTTCTCCCTGTCCACAACTTTCTCCACTTGGGCATCTAGAAGGCCAAGCCCAAGCCCACGCTCCACCAGCATCAGGTTGAGAGAGGCCCGGCAGCAGCAGTGCACACTGCTGGGAAGGGAAGGCCTGCATTCAGTCCCTGCCAGCCTGAGAGCCGGGTGGGGCGTACCCATAATCCCAGCTACTCGGGAGGCTGAGGCAGGGTGTCAGGACACAGCGAGACCCGGTCTTAGCTGGAATAAAACCCCTGCTCCTCCCCTGCATCTCCCCCTCCTGGGAAGTGGGAGCTGCAACGTTCCTCCTGCTCAATGTCGTCCCCGTCTCCGACCACAGCGCAGTCTCCCCCGCTCACTCTGCCTACCTGAGAGCCCTCCCACCCAGCACTCCCACACCCCGGCCTGCTCCAGCTGCTGTCACATCTGAGGTCTCATTCTTGTTTTTTGGTACCCATCTCATCAGAGCAAAAGCTTATGGAGATGGGGGGGTGTTTATTCATTTTGTCCACTGCTCACAGTGTCCAGCACATAGTAGGTACTCATGAGTACTATGGAGGAAAAACGAAGGCCATTCTCTGCTCTTTACAACCTAAAGCCTGTCCTAGAAGACAAGTGAGAAAGGCCGAGGGCAGACAGCCAGCCTCCCTGGATGCGGAGGGCTTGGTGCTGGGGTAGGGCCGTGGCCACCTCTGGGTGCCCTGCAGGAGCCAGGGCGTGAGCACCTGCTCCCACCCCCAGCTCATGACCAGGTCAGTCTAGGCTGGGGCTGGCCACGGCTGGGCAGGAGCCCTAAAGCCTGTCCTAGAAGACAAGTGAGAAAGGCCGAGGGCAGACAGCCAGCCTCCCTGGATGCGGAGGGCTTGGTGCTGGGGTAGGGCCGTGGCCACCTCTGGGTGCCCTGCAGGAGCCAGGGCGTGAGCACCTGCTCCCACCCCCAGCTCATGACCAGGTCAGTCTAGGCTGGGGCTGGCCACGGCTGGGCAGGAGCCTCACATTACCACATGCAGAGTGGCTGGACGCTGGCCTGACCCTAAAAAATCCCCTTACTCTGAGTGGGCCTTGCAAGAACCGTTACCCCACAGTGCCCCAGGCTGCCGTCGTTCCCTGTACCCGTTCATGCCCAAGATTGGCCTGTGGGGCCAGCACTCACCTGCAGGCCAGGCTCACCCACAGGGGTTTTCTGAGGAGCCTCAGCTCTATCAGTGAACAGGGCAGGTCACAAGGCCCTCTGCACAGCTCCTAAGGAGGCTTAAGAACTAATGACTGGGGGGTGGTGGCAGATGGCATGGTGGTTATAGGTGCTGGACTCCCACATAGTTGACTGCGGTTCAAGTCCCTGACCTGGCAGCTTGCTTTGTCACTTTTTCTACATCTCTCACTGTCTCTGGTCAAATGAAAATAAATAAAATAATTCTTTTTTGAAAAAAAAAACTAATCACTGGAAAGCACTTAAGAATTTCAGAACTCCCAGTACATCTACTCTCTGGCTGGTATTTATCAGGTGCTATTGTAGGACTGGGAAGATGAGCATGAACAAGACAGCAAGATATCTGCCACTGGGCCAGCAGGTGGCGTGGTGGTTAAGGCACTGAATCCCACATGGCCAACTGCGCCATTTCAAGTCCTGAACCTAGCAACTTGAAGAACATGCTGAGCACATGCGCAAAATGCCCAGAGGAAAATGGAGAAGGGATTACAGCATGGGGGGACACGGTGGGGAGGTATCTGCTGTCATAGAGGTTATTTACAATATAGTTGGGGAGTAGAAAATACAAATTAAACTTGTATACTAGTATGTTCAACTGGAAAAAGGGGGTTATAGAAAAAATACAAGAGTAGAACAGAAAGTGATATTAGCAGTCATCTTGGAAGTCCTCCTAGAAGTGCCATCAGACCTGCGTAGAGCAGGAGGCAGCTAGGAAAAAGCTCTCAGAACAGCAAGTGCCCAGACCCTGAGGCAGGAACGAGCTCGGCAGAGGCGCAGAAAGGCCCGAGTGGCTGGAGTAGGGAGGGTGGAGAGCGGGGCAGGGCGAAGACCAGTGCACCGGGGTCTGAGCCTGTGGGCCCTGCAGGTACCTCAGGGACAGGGGAGGCCATCAGCCTGCACTGCCCGCTCCATGCCTGTTTCCCATCTGCCAAACTGGGTTTAGCCCACAATCTCCAAACCTACTCCCAGCACTGGGTGGCTGTGCGGCCCTCGTCAAAGTGACTACTTCCAGAGTTGCTGTCCCTCTCCCCTCCTCTGGACTGTCTTCCTGCCCCACCACGTCGCCAGGCTGGGCCAGCTACCCCTTGTGCAGAGCAGGCTAGTGGTGAGGGTGGGAAGAGGTAGGTTTTTCCTATCTGGAAGAGTAAGCTGTGGTCACCAAGCTGCAGTGAGAGGGGGGCTTCTGAACAGCCGCAGTGCTCATGTGGGGGCCTTTGGAGGGGCTGACCAAAACCACCGGCCAGTCAGCACTGCAGATGGGTCTTCTTGAACCCGTGTGTAAATGAAAGTGCCCTGGGAAGCACTCCCCCCCTCAGTGGGAACACACCAACCGTGCACCGTGCTCTAAGGCCATCTCCAGGGCCACCTCCAACCAGGTGGCTGCCTTCGGGCCCTACCTGTAAGAAGTCCTGGCGCGCCCGGTTTCTAGGTGTGCATGCCGAAGTCAGACTGCTGAGGTTTGAACCCACCACCTACTAGCTTAGTAAGGGGACTGAGCCTGTCTCCACATCCGTAGAAATGAGGATGTAGATAGTCCTTATATCAATAAAAGCATGGAGTTATTTTCACGGCATCAATGCACAGAGCTAAATTCACCCTATTTTTGAAGCTGGTAAGCTTAGCTGCTTATTATTACATTTTTTGTTGTTTAAACAATTATTTAACTTAATTTATCCATTTATTTATTTATTTCAGTTTGACCAGAGAGGGACAGAGAGTGAGAAAGCAAGCTGTCAGGTCCGGGCCCCAGGCTGTGGTCAGTCTCGTGAGCCCAGCAACCTTAACCACATCACCTGTCGGCCCCAACAGTTTAGCTGCTTAAATGGAGTGACTAATGAGCTTCTCTATGACAGCTTTAAAAGATGAGGTCTGGGGGCTGGGGCCAGCAGATGGCATAGTGGCTAAGGCACTGGACTCCCACAAAGTCAACCACAGTTTGAATCCCGGAGTTGGTGGCTTGAAACTTAGGCCAGGTGCATGTGCGGGTGCATCCGCCCAAGATCCCAGGAGAATGCAGCCTGGCCATCTTGTGCCTGTCTCTCCAGAGAGCACACAGATCCTACAGTAAAAATCTGAAAAAAGGGTAAGGCCTGAAAAATACACATCTGTGGGGAGTGGGAAAGAATCGGGTCTATAGACCTCTGTGGGTGAGACACAAAGATGAACTCCAGTCAGCCAAAGCAGAAAGGCGGGAAAGGCCAGACTTGAGCCTCCCTGCTCTAGGCCAAGACTAAACCGGAACCTGTGGGGGGTGTGGGAAGCCAGGTCACGTGAACCCTATGGGCCCTAGAGGCCACCTGCAGAAAAGGCTCCCGCCCTGCCTCTCCACTTGCCTTGAGATAAAGGCTCGTGCCGGGCACCCCCTTACCCACCTCCCAGATGCTCCCTGGGAACATGCAGCCTGTCTCCGGTCACTGCCTCAGAAAGTCACAGGCGGGGCTCTTGTGCTCAGCCACAACCAATCAGAACTGTACGTCCTGTCTGGCAAACAAGGCCACGTCTCTGAGGAGCTGCTCACCCCCTGGAAGGCAGGCCACCTGGAAGAGCCCATTTCTCAGGCACAACCTTCAAGCTCCCACTCAGCAACTCTGGCCCAGCTCTTGTCCTCTGCTTCAGCACTCAGGAGTTCTTTCTGAGGACAAGTTTTGCACTCTCCAAACCCTTCAAGACTTGTTAGTGAATCCTCACTAAACTCAATGTATCATACAACTTTTACCTATTTTTTGAGGCAGGAGGTGGCTAGAGAAAAGTGGGTAGGAGCTGGAGTGTCTGCCCATTAGGGCAGAAATCCCCCAACCTATGTAATGTACGTTAGTGGGGATGTCCACCTGATCAAACATTTGGTATGGGCAAAGTTGTACTTTCCCTGTGTAAAAATTCATTACAGGGACCAGCAGATGGCCTAATGGCTATGTTGCTGGGCTCCCATGTAGTCGACCACGGTTTGAGGACCAGACCCAGTGGCTTTAACTCATGCTGGGCTGGTGTCCCAAGATCTCAAGAACGAAGAGACTGCTGTGTGGCCATCCCCCTGGGGGGTGATTTCTCTCTTTCTTTCTGGCAAGCACATGGACTATAGCAAAAACCTCTCCAAAAAAAAAAAAAAAGGCAAAGAGCACTGTCACTTTGCAATGACACAACAAAGTATAACTGTTGGGGCCTTTGCCACTCCGGTCCCACTCCGACTCTCCTGAGTGTACTTTCACCACGTGTTTCATGATTCTTGTCCAAACCACCAAGAACCTGGAAATCACCATAGAAGCCACCCGCAACTTTCAGGAGAGTAAATGGCACAAAGCTGCAACTGGGACAGGAGGCACCCAGGCCGTTCCAGGGGGAGTACCCAACTCGATTGCCAGATCACCCCAACTCTGCTCCAGGGGAGGGATTGCCAACAGAGCTATCAACTGCCAACCTACACCCCAGAAGGGCTAAACAAGTCTCACTCCAGGGCTCCAATGTTCAACGCTGAAATCCTGTCTCACATGAAAGGTCTTCCGACTATGGGTTTTTCACCAGGAACAAGAAACATACAGTCTGCAAAAGTACTTTCACTATAAAATTATTTATTACAATACAACTTCAGCATGAGACTCCTATGTACAAACCCCACTCCTGACTACCGTGACTAGGGGACCACCCTCTTCTTCCCCCTTGCCTTGCGGACCTCTTCTATTAGATCTTTCAGATACTGAATCTCCTTGGCCAAGGAGTCTGCCTTCTCCTTCAGAGCCTCGTTCTTCTTTTCTAGCTCTTTGCACTCTCCGGTGAGGGCTTCCTGCTCTGCCCTCTTCTTCTGGCGGTACCTGGTGGCTGCTGTCTTGTTTTGCTCCATTTTTTTCAGCTTCTTATCCAGTTTTTCACCCTTTATTTTTGCTGTTACCACTTTCTCGCTAGGAGGGTCGTATGGTTTTGGGCGGGCAGAGCCACTATGGACACCTGGAGTTGGTAAGCTATTTGGAGAAGCCCTGGAAGTGGAGGGGCTGTGCTGGGGAGAGCCCAGATAGGACTCTGGGCTCATACAGATGCCACTGTCATTATCCGAGGGGGCATCTTCCTCCTTTATACACTGAGGGATTATAGTGCCATATATAGCAGAGTCTGGCTTCCTATCTCCTTCAGAGATGTCCACTTCACTGCCTAGCTCTAAACTAAAGGAATGATCTGGAGTGGAGGACAGGACCCCTGAGGAGAGGGGAAGAGGCTGCAGGAAGGTGAACGGGGCAACCTGGTCAGCTTTTAAACTTTCTGGGAGATGGCCAATTGGGTTCACTGTCTGGGAGGGCTCCTTGTTAGTCTCCTGGACTAGGGGGGCAAAGAGGTCACACGTGTCATCCAACGTGGCCAAAAGCTCATCTGGCATGGTTTCCAGGTCATCTAAACTCAACAGGGCATCAAAGTCGAACTCCTTCAGATCCATTTTCTCCAACATCCAATCTGTCCCAGAGAAGGCATCCTCTGCAAAAGATTGAAGAGCAATGAAGGCACAGAAGGCCCCAAGCCTGGAACACCAGTCCCCAGAACTGACCCAGGCCGGCAGATGCAGGCGGCCCCACTCACCCTTGCCGTTGTCTGGGGCACTGACCAACCCATCCACAGCCAGCCATTCGGAGGAGCCCGCCTTCGCCTTGTCGCTGGAGAACCCATGAGGTCTGAAGTGCTTGGCCACCTCCAGGTAGTCATCTAAGAGACCTAGACTTTCTTCAGCCCCCAAACCCGACTGGTCGAAGGGGGACATCAAGTCCCCCGCCAACACCTCGCTGCTCAGGAAGCTCATCTCGGTCATGTCTCGGGGCTTTGCTGGAATCGAGGAATGTGTGTAATTCGAAGGTGTCTCTGTCGCTTACAGCAACGCTGCTGCCGGATGCCGTGTAAAGCCTGCAGAGCCATCAGGAGGCAAGTACTGTTAGAGACTTCAGGGTAGAGCTCCAGCCTCCTAGCTGAGACAGCTAAATCGGAAGTCGACATCGTCCTGAACCCAACAAGTGGCCCCAAGGCTATTGTGTCACCAGTGCCGGCTTCCGGCGCAGGCTGCACAAAATGGACGCTCCAAGGCCCGGCACTTCCTAAACTGGCCACCAAGAGGAAGGCGCACGTCCCCATGCCCAAATATGGCCATGGGCGCCGCGCCCCCCCCCGGGCCTGCCCTGTCACCGCCATCTTGGCTCCTGCCACGTTACGCGGGGCTAAGGCCAAGACCCCGTTGGGGTCCGAGCACGAGGGCGGCGAAGCCCCCGGGAAGCCGCCAGCACCCGGCTGTGCTTTCCCGACTCGGAAGCGCCGGCGTCTCGTGGACACCCTAACAGGCCCACGCGTCCTGGGCGCTCGTAAAACCGCTTCCCCCTCGGCGGCACCGCCCCAGCTGCGGGCCGCACCCAACCAAGCCGAAACCCCCGCCGACACAAGGTGCAGACAAGGAAGCTGGGCCCGGGTACTCACGCCATGGCTTAAGCCGCTGGGGGGTGCCGCTGCAGAGCCTGGTGCTGCTGCTGCCGCTGCAAAGGCCAACGCTGCCGCAGGCACTGCTGCCTCTAATGCGCCATGGCGGCCGCGGAGCTGCGGGGGGGCAGGGAAGGCGCGAGCTCCGGACAGACCTACATCGGAAGAAATGGCTGCGTCGCGTCGTCCGCAGGCCTTTATAGACTTCCCCTCTGTGGGGACGCGTTACAGCGCATCCTTCCGCCAAGACCACGTGGTCCTCCCGCCCACTCGTTTTCATCTGCCTGACGCCCCCGCCGGTCCAGCCCACGACGTTTACATTTGCGGAGTAGCTGTGAAGGAAAAGGGAGTTTATATTCAAGGCCTCATGGAAGGAGGAAAAGCGCACTACTTTATAGCGTCTCTGCGATAAGCCACGCACTTTCCTCGGCCGCCGGGGCGCGGAGGGATCTCGCAGACACGCCCCACTTCCGGTGCTAGAGCGAAGGGGTGGGCAGACAAAGCCTTTCATCCCTTTATTGTGAAAGCCGAGACACCTGCCTATCGCGCGAGGTCCTGGCGGGAGCGCGCGTCGACATGATTGGCCCAAGCTTGGCGAGTCATATGTATCTCGGACTCCTATTGGCTCAGGTCCTGTCTGGGGGCGCTGCTAGCCGAGCGAGCCCGGGGTTCGGGCAGAAAGGTCGGCCTCCCCAGCGTGGTTCTCGCCGCCGGCTTCTGGGCTGCGGCGATTGTCGGAGCCGCCTAAGCAGCGGTGCATGCTCTTCCCCGCTCGCCTCCTAGCCGGCCACCAATCGCGCCGGTTCGCGACCCCTATGGTTCCAGGGCCCGACCCCTGCGGTCCCTCCCTGCCCTCTGGCGCTCTTCCCAACTACCGAGCGGGGACTTCCCAAGCATAAATTCCGCAACTCCTCCCAGCGGGTGCCTTCCCGGAGCTGACTTCCGACCCGGGAAGGCCCAAGTTCCCCCACCCCTCCCAGCGGGTGCCCTCCAGGAGCTCCCTTCCGACACGAAAAGGCGGACGAAGTTAACAGATCGGAGACCAGTTTTTTTCAGATCGAGCCCACAGCGGGTGGCTAACTTGGGTCCCCAGAAACAGCATGAATGGAGAGCGATCATCGTGGGGCCACAGTTGGAAGATGCCTGGTCCCTGCCACTTCCATCAAAGGCCAGCCCTGTGGCCTTCCAGTGAATTCTAGAGTCAGGAAGGAGGCATGATCCTGTTGCCCGACTTGTATTTTTACTTTGCTAAATGCAAGTTTATTTTTTTTTAAGAGATTTTTGCTATAGGGCGCGTGTAGTTGGCCGGAGAGGGAGAGAGCCAGAAATCAACCCTCAGAAGGGATGGCTGCGCCGCAAATCCTTCTCCATTCTCCTCTTAGGATTTTAGGCACACACCCACGTAAGTTTTAAGGCTGGGTCTGGGACTCGGAACAGCAGTGGACTAGGTGGTAGTCCAGTGCCATAACTATTACACCGTCTGCTGGTCCCAGATTTCCTATCCTACTAAAGTATGCAATCTATCATTAAGGGAACTTCCTGTGGCTTAGGCAGGTTAGTTATCCTAAGACTCAGATTTTATTCAACTCTCACTCTAGGGTAGTTTCAACTAATTCCCAATTCCAGTTAGAGCCAGCTCTCTATGGGATATTAACAAACCCCTCCATCACCCTCTAATCTCCTCCACAGTCAGGCCGGAAAAGGCAGAAACCTCAAGTTTCCGCCTCTATTTAGGAGAGCTGTACAAATACCGTCTGTTAGGCCATGGTACCAGTCATAAAATTGGGGAAGTGTTCTAAATACAGCCATTTCTTGACTTCAGTCTAGCCCACTGTAAACAATGTCTTTGCGGTGGTAAACTGAGGCCTAATAGGATGTGTCTTGCTCTACTTTGTATAGCTCCCAATGGAGGCAGTGTGGACTAGGGGTTAGGTTTGGGGAGTCCAAAAGGCCCTTGATCTACCATTTATTAGCTGGGACTCCCTGAGTCCGTTTCTTCATCTGTAAGATGAGACTAATGAGTGTCCTTGTCCTAAGAATGGAGTGACTTCTAAGTATGGCACTCAGCACAGTGCCTCCTCCATATGCACACAACTTATGGTCACTGTTACTATTAGAACTCGGGTCTCCTGGCCCTGGCCTTCCAACCTCCTCTGCTCTTATCTCCAGGACACTGTCCTGCTTTCTCAGAAGCCAGCATACTGTTACTGGGATGAAGCCAGCACTATGAACCACTGATATTATGCTTGGCCTACTGGATGTCGGGGCATGTGTGGTTTTTCTCTCATCTTGCGGATCATGTGTGTGGAACAAGGCAGTACAAAGGCA